GATTCAATTCCCAGCACCACAAAAAAGTTTAAAATAAAGACGAGGAAGCTGAAGCATTAAGCGTTTATAGGTAGTGAAAGTTTGTACTTTCAAATTCTTCCCAAATTTAACATAAAGTTAATATCTTCCCGGTACCAGAAAAAACAAACAAACAAACAAACAAAAAAATGGGTCTGGGGATTTAGCTCAGCAGCACAGCGCCTGCCAGGCAAGCTCCAGGTCATGAGTTTGATTCCCGGTACCAGAAAAAAAAAAGAAAACGAACCCCCCCCACCAAAAAAAAAAACCAAGTTAATATCTATTCCTTCAAATTTTCTAGTAAATTTTTGAATATTAAAAAATGGATTGATGTGTATTAAGGACCTTCATTTTCCATGAAGATCTTCATCTTTCCATGTGTATCTTTCCATGGGTCATGAATACTTTTGTAGTACAGTACTGTATTCATTTGTTGTAGTGTTGGGGATTGAACCCAGGGGGCCCTGTCACCTGTACCCCACCTTCAAACCTGAACTTACTAAGCGCAGACTCTACCACTAAGTTACGACCCTACTTATTAAACGTCTGCAGTTACCACTTGGCTTCCATGTATGGAAGTCCACCAAAGGAAGTTTGAGGGCTCCTAAATATTTATGGTTTCTAACATAAAAATTAGAAAGTGCTAAAGTACTTACCTAGCATGGGTGAGGCCCTGGGTTCAATCCCAGCACAAAAAATAAATGAGTAAGGATTGTGAATGTAGGGCAGTGGTAGTGATTCAGGAGGTAGAGTGTGGCAAAACTGGCTGGAGAACTGGGTGGGACCTGTCAATTTCCAGATCCCAGGTCAGAGCCAGATGATTCCCACAGCCCAGCTCCCACGAGATATGGGCAACATAAAAGAGATCAGAGCTCATGGGGAGCCCGCTATTGTGGAGGACCACCTAGATGACTCTCTTTCAAAGAGGAGCAATTGCCTCCATTTTGGCTAAGCCTGACCCTATTTCCATGTATTGATATGTAGAGCTGGCTAGGACCCTTTCCTTATCTCTTTAGTCGGCTTAAAGCAATGCATATAGGTCTAGCTGAGGTGCTGGTGATAGTCTTGAAGACTGCAGGTGTGTTTCCCCGACCTCTGTTGTTCCCACAAGTAAAGGAGCCAGGAGGAGGTGGGATATGTGAGCCAATACTCCATGCTGGGATCGATAGAGGCTATGACCTCCTCGGGCTTGAAAGACTGCAAATCAGAGCTGAAGCACTGACCCCAGAACATTAGATGCTATCTCAATTGTGTTATGCAGATTACTCTTTCTGCATATCCTCTCTGCATTTGCAGAGCTGATTTCAGGCCTCCTACCTAGCCCAGCTCATGGCACTTACCTATTTGCTGCAATTCTCAGTCACCCATCCTCAAGCCACTCCTTTCGTCATGAATGAAGAAAGGGTTTGGCCTTGGGTCGAGGCCTTTGTTCCGGATAGCCATCCTTGGTTCCCCATAACTACAAATACGCCTTAGTGTCTTTACTCTCACCATGGGTTGCCCTGGAAGTGGTAGATTGGAATTGACTCACCAGGATTCAAACAACTTTTCATGGGATTACACATATAAACTTCCTGGGCTGACAAAAGGGCTGGGAAGGGCTCTCCACACGCTATGGTGACTCCAGGGTGCACTTTTAGCTTTGCTTTTTTATCCTTTTCTTTCTTTCTTTGGCCCAAGTTCGCTCTGCAGAGCCAGTTTTTCCCCTTAATCCTCACCCCTCACTTTTGAAATAAACTTTTGGCACTGTTTTTGTCTGGTTTGGTATTTTGGTTTTTTTGAGACAAGGTCTTGCCGTATAGTTCAGGCTGGTCTTGAACTCACTATGCAGCCCAGGCTGGCCTGCACTTGCTGTAATCCTCCTGCCTCAGCCTCCAGAGTGCTGGGATTATAGGCATGCGCCACCACGTCCGGCCCTCGTTTTTGGATCTCTCATCCAAATCTTTGTGGCCAAACGGACACAGAATACTTTTGCTTGGTGAGCCATCTCTAAAGGAACCACCAGACAGCAAGAGTGCCGGCTCAGAACATGTAGCTGGCCCTGGATTCCATTCCCAGCACACACAAAGAAAGTGAGAGAGGGAAGAGAGGGCGATGTTAGTGAAAGGGCACAAAAATGCTAACTGTGCAGAGGTGTCAGCTCCTACATTTCTGGGATGTGGTGATTCACTGCACAGTATATGACAAAGCATCAATCTATACACTTCAAGTATGTACAGGTTTTTTTAATTGTTTCTTTTTTTGGAACTGGGGATTGAAGCCAGGGCTTCATTCCTGTGTATAATTTTTTTTTTTTTTTCTTTTTGGAGACAGGATCTCACTATGCGGTTCAGGCTGGCCTTGAACTTGTTATGTAGCCCAGGAAGAGGTCCAACTTGTGGCACTCCTCCTAGCTCAGCCGCTGGAGGGCTGAGATTACAGGTGTGTGCCACCACACCCAGCTTTGTACCATTTTGTTTTTTCAAGATAGGCTCTTACTATGTAGTTTAGGCTGATGCTGAACTCAGGGTAATCCTCCTGCCTCAGCCTCCCAGAGTGCTGAGATCACAGCCATGTGCCATCCTGCCCGGCTTGTACAGTTTTTATATATCCAACCAGGTAATCCTAGCACTCTAGGAGGCTGAAGCAGAAGGATTTTGTGTTTGAGGCCAATCTGTGTTACCTATAGTAGCTAGTTAAAGGCTGGCCTAGACTACCTAATGAAACCTTGTCTCAAAAAACCCCAGAACATCTTGGCCTGGCAGATATGCATGACCACACCTGGCTTATAGTAGGTCTTTTGCTTTGTTTCTCTTGGTGCTGGGGAGTGAACCCAGAGCCTTGAACACTAGGCAAGCACTCTACCACTGAGCTACATCCCTGGTTGGGGACCACAGTGTTTAAATTCATGTACTAATTCTGTCACCAGTTGTCCCCATCACTTTGAAGAACTGCTATGTTTATCATGGCCCTACTCACAATAGTCAAGTTAGAGAATCAGCCTAGATATCCATTAATGGGTGGAGAAAGAACTGTGATATATATATACACGAGGGAGTATTAGTCTGCTCTAAATAAAAATGCAATCAGATGCGTGTGGTGGTACATGCCTGTAATGTCAGCACACCGGAAGGCTGAGGCAGGAGGACTGTAAGTTCAGGTCTAATCTGGGCAGCTTCATGACCTAGTAAGATCCTGTCTTTTTTTTTTTTTTTTTTTTTTGGTTTTTCTCTGGTACCGGGAACCGAACTCACGACCTTGCGCTTGCCAGGCAGGCGCTTTTGCCGCTGAGCTAAATCCCCAGCCCCTAAGATCCTGTCTTGAAATAAAATAAAATAAAATAATAGGAACTGGGATATAGCTCAACTGGAAGGCACTGCATTCAATTCCCACTACTGGGAAAAGAAAAGAAATCCTATTATTTGCAGGAAAGTGGATGGAACTGGAAATCATGCTGTGTGAAATAAACTAGACTCAGAAAGACAATTATATTTCCTTTCCCACAGGGAACCCAGAAGTCAGTAAACACAGCTCACACTGCCCCTGGGCAGCGCCGTGTCAGACAACACAAAGACCTCACTGCAGTTGTACTTTGTTTTTTTGAGGGAGGAAAGGTTTATTTTAGCTTACCAGTTGTACTTTTGTTGTTGTTATTAATTATTTATTGGTACACTTTAGGTACATATAATGATCACATTCACTATAGGGAATCTGTACCTGTACGTGATACATCTTGATTCTATTTTTTTGTACTTACTTGTTGACATCCTATTAAATTCACCATCTCCTTCCCTGCCTCCCTTTTTTTGTGTCTTTTTCTTTTCGGAGCTAGGGATCAAACTGAGGTCCCTGTGTGTGCTGAGCGTATGCTGTATCACTAGTCACACCCCAGCCTAAACTGATCATTTTAAAGCAGACAATACTGGGAGCACAAGATTGTGCTATCATCACTACTAATTCTAGAGCAATTTCATACCCCCAAAAGAAGCCTGTACCATTTAGCAGTCATTCCACTTCCCTCTTCCCCAGCTCTGAGCAGCCACTACTCTGCTTTCTGTCTTTTTTAAGTCAGGTATTTATTCTGGACACTTCATACAAATGGATTCACAGTGTGGGCTTTTGGATCTGACTTCCATAGCTTATGGCCTCAGTTTAAAGAATTTAAACTGGCAGATTATTTGTTGAAAAAAAGAATTTCTACTTTCAAGAACTTGGTTCTTCAGCAAAAGTGAACCTAATATATTTATGTTCTCAAAACACGGATGGGG